TTAAAAAAAGTAGACTTCTGTTTAAGAGGTGGTAGGAAAATTTAGTAGGTGATTATAAAATATGAGTATTTCCCTATAATTTGTGTGATAAACCTGGTAGGACTATTACTGAATAGAAAAGAGGGTGGGGCTTTTTGCTGTTCTCTTCAGCAAGACCCTAGTACTAAGGGAAATGGGATGAAACTCTTATGTATTTTAGTAAGATCGTGTGATGTCAGGGATATTTGTCTGTGTAGTGTTTGCTCCAGAAAATGACCCGAAGCTTTTGTGGTCTTTTTGGTTGTTAAATGATGTAGCTGTTGTTCGCAACAATGTCTTGTTTTCACATGTGGTTGTTTGTCACTCCTGAGCTGTTCAGGACATCTGTTAATCAAACATCTTTTCTGTCGCTATGAAACTAAGAATATCACAAATTTGCTTAGTAAAGTGTGATGTTCTGTACCTAGACTCTTACTATTTGCTGTAAGTAGCTCTTACTACCAAAAATGTGCTTTTGAAAGACACTGTAAAGGAATGTTCTAAGTTCCATGAATGTCTAAGCTTCATAGTGAAGCTAGGTTAAACCATGTGTTTAAAAGTCTTAGTTGTCAAGGCACAGAATTGTAATTTATGTGTATGAAATTTCAGGTGATTACTGACACATAAACCATCTGTTCTGAATTGCTCTTCTTGAAAGAAATTCTACGTTCAGTCACTGCAATATACATAAATCAAAAGATACAGAATCAGAGAATCACACAGAATTTCTAGGTTGGAAGGGACCTTTAAGATCAGCCTTGGCCACCTGGGCCCAGTGCTGGCTCATGTTCAGCCGACTGTCAACAAAAATATTTAGAACCAGATTTATTAATGTGTCGTTAGTACTGGGGAGCAACAGCGACCCAAGGGTCACTAGGCGTTTTCAGCATTCCTGCCAGGTGCTGCAATGCCTTCCCAGTGGCTCCTTGGAAGAGAGGCAGTCAGGTTCTCCTAGCCATCTCCTTGGCTGCTCCTGTTCCACTGGAGGCTCTGTGCCGCAGCAGCTCCTGCTCCCTGGGCCCACTGCTGGGGGCTGCTGGGCTCAGGGCCAGGGAGAGCACATGGCTTGTGCCCACGCTGAGCCCGAGTCTCCACCGAGTGCCAGATGGCAGCCACCAGTCACACACGCAAGAATCTTTTTTCTTGTGTCGTTTAGTTTGGGGTTTTTTTTGGGTTTTTGTTTGTTGGGGGTTTTTTTGTTGTTCAAAAGTTCTCAGGTAATCTAAGTGGTTTATTACAGACTTCCAGAACAGTGTTCAGGATCCTCAGCAGGACTTGAAAGAATTTAGGCTATTTATTATGGTTGTCTCAGCACAAAGCAGTTTAAAGGTACAGAACTGTCTAGAGCTGGAGAGCTGTGTGGAAGCAAACAAACCCAGCATGATGTCACTAGCTCTTCTGAGCTGTTCCTGGCATTAGAAACAGAAGTTTCTTTTCTTGGAGAAGACTCACTAGTTTTCTGCAAAGGCAAGCCTGAGAACATGGACACTGTGGAAGAATCCAGAGATGAGAACTGAGAGGTGACATGATTTGACACTGCAGGTCTGCTCTTACACATAAAGTAACTGCATCCTTATCTCCTTTCCATTCTCTCTGAAGTCCTTATGCACAAGTCTGCAAGTGCCAGGAATACTGGAGCTGGCTTCTTGGCATCTTGTTCCTGTCACAGTGCTGTTCATCCCTAGTAGATCATCCAAAATTGGCACTTTTAATTTGATGTAATAAATCAAAAGTTACAAAGAGTATAGTAGTGTCAGATATGGTTTATTTGGTCCCCTGATGTTGACTGCTAACTCAGTTCATTCAACATCTGTGTATCACTTCGGATAATCTGGTCCAAGCAGAGATTATATGGGAAAAGAATTTCATTCTGTTTGATTTTCTTGCTGTTAAACCAATTTAGAGCTGCTGATAATTTGGTTCAGTGAGAATATGGTCAAGTATGGTGTATGTACAGTGGATGTTTTCTGTAAGTGGATTGATAGAGTGCTATGATATGACACCTCTTTGTACCTACTGACAAAATGGAGTTAATTATAAAGTACTGAGTATTTCTGATTCCGCTGAAACACTAAAAACCACAGATTAATTGTCAAGACTTGAGGGAATCAAATATAATTGTGACCAGCCTCCCCTGGGACCCTGACCTGCACTCTCTGCCCATGGCCCAGAACATCCCTTTTACCTCAAGCCCTCTTCTTGTCAGAGCTGTGTTGTGAGCAGACCATCTCCAGCCTGGCTGCCTGATTGCTCCATATCTAGAGCCCCTTGAAAGAATTCATGTTGTATAGGTTTTTTTAATTTATTCTGGATTAGAGAAGAGCTGTTTTTACTTCCCTGCTTCCTTGCTTTCCCCTCCTTGTTCCAGGTTTCATGGCTAGGTCTGCTGCAGCCCTGAGTTCTGCCTTGTCTTCTGCTGTTTCTGACTTGCCTTCCCTGGACACACTAGACCTGACTTGGCTCTTCCTCCTCTGATAGAACAATTGTCTAAAGCTCTTATGTTCCCAGAATTGCCTTATGTGGTTGCTCTGGGACTGCACCGTTGCCAGTGAGGGCTGCCACTGCCTGTGCTGGGGTCACCCTTTGGCCCTGGATTATCTTCCCTCGTGGAGCAGCCCAGCTCTTGCTGCGCTCTGCCTTTTCCCATTTTGCTTTGTGCCAGTCCAGTATCCCTGCCCACTTTGCTTGTTCCTCTTTTACGCTGCAAGAGGTATGGTTGGGTTGGATCTTCTCTGGGAAATAATTTTGAAGAAGGGACTTCTTTAGGGTTTCTGCAATGTTTTAGTGCAAAATCATGGAGTGGAAGTCCTGTTTTGACAGCTTTCCTCTGCAGCCTGCACTAGCTGACCTTTTTCCAGCAGGCTGCCAGAGACTTGTGTGACTGCTTTCAAAAGAAGTCGATGTCCTTTTAACAGTAATGTAGTTAGAGACTATATTAGATTTGTCCAGTTAAAATCTCCTGGGAAAGGGTAGGGAGAGACAGAGATGGACAAATGCTGCATTTCTTCTTCCCAAGGTCTAAGTCACTGAGAGGAAATGCAACGGGAGAAACTGTCTGTAGAGTATAAGTATTTGTCTCAGAAGAGATACTCATTGTTTCTTTGAAGAAATTAGTGTAATATGAAAAGAATGCTAGCCTAAAAAATGTGTCTAGTGCTAACAGCTTTTTATTAACTTTTTTTTTAAGAAAAGAAAAAAAATCAGATATGTAAAGAGCTGAGCATTTATTTCCACTTTTTTTTTCTTTTTTTTCTCCCTCCAGAAGAATAGAAAGGGGCAGAAATAATGTTTTAAAACTTCATTGTGGTCTGATCTGTAAGATTGCCCCATATCTAGAGCCCCTTGAAAGAATTCATGTTGTATAGTTTTTTTTATTTATTCTGGATTAGAGAAGAGCTGTTTTTACTTCCTTGCTTCCTTCTTGCTTTCCCCTCCTTCTTCCAGGATGGTCCAGGAGGTGATATGGTATCTGTGGCATAAGATGAGATTTTTTTGTTTAAAATATAATGCAAAATTTGTTGGTGTTTTATATAAATTATAGAAAAATAATATTGCCTTGCAATTAACTTGAATCATAAGCTAATTTTTCCAAAACAATGAAATGTAAATTGAGTAATTGGAGTCATGGAATCATGGGGGAATCAAAGCTAGATGGTGATTTGAGGAATAGATTTAATTGCATAAATCTCTGAGACATATTTATATATCTAAGACAATCTGTTTAGTCCCCATTGACATACAGGTAAGTACAATAGTGATTATGCCTGCAGTTGTTCTATTTTGAGTTTATTTGGCTTATTGGGTAGGTAGCAGTGAGTATCTCAGTGCATGTAATCTGCCATTACATTGCTGCTGTGATGTGTGTAATATGTATAATATTTAAACTCTTTCTAAGCTGTGTTTAATACTGACATTATTATACTGCTAGAAGCTGTTAGAAGGGGAAGCCTACTCCTGTGTCACTCTCCCCATTTTCCAGTAATTTTAACTAGGAATGAGCAGAGACACCATATGTGCCATTTTCTACCTCTTAGCTCACTTTTCATTGAGTAACTACTGACTCCAGACAGAAGTAAAAATTTCATAAATCAGCATTGGAAAAACAGTGCATTCAAATCAACATAAGGTCTGAATTCCTCCATGATTTAGAGATCCCTAAAGTTTACATATCAACAATGTTTCATTTTCTGTCTTCACTTGGCTATTTTTCATAGCCAAGTAGTACAGCTATTTTTCATTTGAGGAAAAGAAGCCTTAAGTGAAACTAAATGCTAAGGACTTCTTTTCTGTGTGTCTCAGTAAATGTAGGCAGGCAGCAGGTTTGCTATGGTAATTACTCTGTTTGGTACAGATGTGGATGCTGTATCAGCAGCATCCTTTCTGATATTGAAATCATGTAAAGGAACTACTCTGGTACAGTGAGAACCTGTCTCTGTAGACCTTGACTTTGTACCTACTAGATTTACAGTCCTGTGTTGTGCACTGGAGACTTCTGGGTGTTGTTAAACAGGAGACAGGGACCTTTCTGAAGTGTTTGAAGTCATTGGGCCTCAAGACCCGTGCCTTTACACTGTGATTACCTCCTAACATTGAACTGAAAGTAATTCACCCTTAATTGTGAGGAAGTTCAGTTCCTAGTTTAAATTCTGTCTATTCTATATATATATTTTTTATTTTTTTTTTAATTCAGTGAACTGGACCAAAGACTAAATACAAAGCCTATAGTTATTAATATTCCTAAGTAGCTATAGTTGGTTCAGCTCTCAACTTCATTGTGTGGCCTTTTGGAAAGACTTTTTGGTTGAGAACTGCATGCTGTTAAATTCACTTCTCATGCTTCTTTGCTTGGAATTCTTTAATGGCCCAGGAAATAATTTGGTGGGAGTTACCCATCTATGCAAAACTTGCATAGTGATTTCATAATACTTAAGTATTATGATAGTATGTATAATTTAGCTAAATAAATAATTCCTGTTTTTCAGACCTTACCAGTTCGGAAAATTCCATGCAAAGCCAATGCTCCTTCAGGGTCTTTTTTTGCACGGGACAACACAGCAAATTTCTTATCCTGGTGCAGAGGTGTAGGTGTGGATGATACCTGCCTGTTTGAATCAGAAGGTTTGGGTATGTATTTCTTTATTCTTCATGTAGTAGTTGGTAATTTAAGATAACTTTTCCTTTGTGTTTCACCTTGAAAGACAGAAAGGCTTTTAATAGGTCCTGACACTAATTCTGAACTTTGTTTGTGTTAATTCTGCTGCTTGTCCATAGAATGAACAATTAAAGTACACATCACATACTACTCATTTAAGCCAGTTTTAAGAGGAGCTTAAATGAGAGAAAACTTTTGCTATGTTTTCTTGCACACAAATGATTTTTCACCCTACACATAGTTTTCTGAGCATGGTTCCTTAGTTTAATAAGATTTTTCTGTTTTGGGAAAGTAGGATACAAGTGCATGCACAGTTCTGTCTGCAGACATTTGGCTAGTTGTGGAGATTTAATGAATTGCACAGGAGAAGATACAAAATTTTTCTGTTTCCCATGCTGACCATTTTTCCCAGCTAGATTCCTTGTGCAGTTCTGGACAAAAATGATCCAATACTACTGCTTCATGGTGTTTCATGAAAAGAATTGTACTGCTCAGGAAAATACTACATAGTCTTCGTTGTTTTAACTCTTCTTTCTTCAAAGGAAATCTTACGAATCTTGACTTCACAGTTTTTCAGCCAAATCTCATGAAATGAAGAGTCCAGTGTTTGCTATCTGAAATCAGATAAAGCAGTCATGGTGACAGATCAATTTCTATGGAAGACAAAGGAACACACTGAAAAGCTGAAGCTTCTTTGTTCTGTTGCTCAAAAGCCTTTGCCCTGTTGAAGCTCTTACATGTGTTGTGACTGATCTATTTCCATTCTTTTACAGTCTCGTTCTGCTTCTGTAGTCTAGCACAGATATTTCTGAGAGAGTTTTTCTTTTTCATTTGTCTGTTCTTTTATCCTGGGAAGTTTTTTAATTCCATTATTTTCTATGTCTGGGAGAAAATGCTTGGCAGAGGGCAGCTTACTGTCTCAAAGGTGACAAATAGTGAGTTGAATATATGTATTGACTCTGTTTTGTTAATTAAATCTTTAAGATTAAATTCTTATTTGATATGTAAATCACATAGAAGATGAACAAAAACTGTAGTTTCAATGATTTGAAATGGTGAAGAAGTTGAACACTTACCTAGGACCAAGAAGCTTGTAAACAGCAGGAGATGCAGACCTCCAATGCCTGACACAGGCAGAAGAACCTCTGGTTAATGGAATACTTCAAGGTATTTGAAGTTTGTATTGTTATGGTAAGCCCAGCCGTTTGCCATTGTTCCACAAATCTGTTGTGCATTTTTAAGAAACTAGATCTTGTTTAGAGTTGGAATTGACATAGCTGGAATACTGACATTTCCTGATAATTAATTTTCACGCATACACAGTGCCTTGCCTGCCATAGTGAAACAGAGTGCAAATAGACCTGAAAAGGTGTGTTCCAGAGGATTTCCTCACTCAGAAAACTGAAGTGAAATACAACTGAGTGTGCAAACCTGTACTCGATTTTGTTTGATTAGTGACTGATTTTCTTCATTGATTAAAAACTAGGTTCTGTGGTTTTTCCCCTTATTGTATAATGTACTCACAGAAAAGATTTATGTTGCTTGAAATAGGATTAGGACTTGATAGCATTTTTGACCCATTTTTCTGAACTTGAGAAGGAGGTGGTAATCATGCCTTTAAAAAAAAAAAAAAAAGACAAAACTAGTAGCTATTATTCTGCTTCAGTTTAATAATTAACTCAAAGTTTTGCTTTTTTGAGATTTTCCTAATGCATTAGAAATAATGATAAGTCTTAACAGTTGCCAATCTAAAGCTTTTATGTTCCTCTCTCTCCCACAAATCACTTCACCAATGCGTAGGAAGCAAAAATTCAGCAAAGGTAAGTAATATCAAAGGTTCTTTTCAAAGCAGTGAGAAATGTGTGTGAATGACATCTGTCTTTGCACTGCCTCACTGAATTCTGCTTTTTTTTTTTTTTTTTGTTATTAATTGTGGTGAAATTATGGTTACAGAGGTAACTGTTTTTTGTGTTTTCTTCTGTTTTTCCCCATGGCTCATAAACTCAGTAAATTGGTGTGTAAATTGATAGTGATAAAGCATCTTTTTTCTGTCTGTATTAGAGAACCTTATTGTAGCAATGTTCTCAACTGAGTGGATTTTTATCCTCATTGTTTTACTCTTATTCTGTGTGCTTTATGGTATGTAAATACTGTGTAATTTAATTAAAGGCACATAGGAATATTTTCATCGTGCTACTGTATCATATAAAACATCCCTGAGGTCTTTTTCTGGCAAATATGTACTCTAGAATGATAAGAGTGATTTTGAAGATCTAGTGCCCTGAAATACTTGAATGATGGATTTATGCCACTGATTTTAAAACAAAAAAAGTACCAAGTATATTAGAGAACAGCAAAACAAAGTCTATAGTGGTTAAGAAACTGTTAATTGCTATTATTTCTCATTACTTAAAAATACTATCTCATTGTTATAAGTTCTGAAGAAGTCTTTGAGTCATGCAAGTATAACTGCACACAAATGCATCATCCATCACTGCTAATTTTTAGCACTGAGACTCAAGTGGTACAAAGGTATTCCTGACTGGAATGGAGCTGTCTCAAACAGAGACTAGAGCAGATAGATAGATTGATAGATACCTGACGAGCATGCAGGTAGGTGATGTCAATGGCAATCTTGAGTATTGTTAGAGGCTTCCTTCTGCAGAGGGTTGACATTTCAGGGCTGAGCCACACAAGCGGGTGAGCAGACCTGATCGTGTCGCTTTACTCTTGCCCTTCACTTGTGGACTAATTTAAGCAATTAATGTAATTATTTTAAGTTAAGCACAGTTTCAAATGCTGTGTTGGATTTGGGCTGTTCTGCCGAGCTAAACAAGGAAACAACATCGAAGTCTTCAAAATAAATAGAAGGAAAAGTAAATAGAACGAAAAATAGAGGTGCTTGACATACCAGTAGATACAATTATGCTGTCTAATCACTAGTTACTTTAGATATCATTGGAAGAGAATGGTAGAGAGCTCAAAAATTTGAAGATTTGTACTGCTAATTTGTTAGTAGTCTACAATATGATGTAGTTTGTCTTGCTGAATGTTATAATGCTTTCACATAGGTTAAAATGCAAACAAATTGGAAACACAGTTTCCTGTTAAGATTTGTAACACAGCCAGAGCTGACTGGTAGCAATTTATCTCTAAGTGCAGAGACATGGCAGGAAAGGCTCCGAGTTAATGGCTTTGTGAAGAAAAGGTGGCTGGGGCAGCCGATGTAAGAGCTACAGCTCACACATGAACATCTGTAAAAATTATAGCAACACAGTACATAGGGATAATCTTGAGTGCTGCAAAATAGAGGGACACCATGTGTGCTCCCTGCACTCATTGCCAAATGTAGCATGTTTGTCATATTCTTTACTTTTAAAGTTTGTGCATTTAAAGGAGAGGGAATTAGCTTTGTTAATACCAAAAATTATGATCCAAAATCCAAGTTTTGATCATCTGTGCAAATCTTGAGGTACAGTGTCATTAAATGGTCTTAGATGTATCAGCCTATGTGGGACCCTGAACATGATGTGTTAACTCTCTCGTGCAGTGTAATACTGCCTTTAACTCCTCTGTGCCCATAAATATACTTTGTAAATTCCCCTGTAGGGCTTTAGGGCAGCAGATCCCCACAGCTCTGGTAATTTTCTTCATGGAAGCATTCTAGGTGGAGATACTTGTAATTTTGCTCATGCCTGAAGAGTAAAATACTCAAAGGAAACTCTTCTTGGACAAATAAGAATGGTAAGATTTTCTGTGATTGTTTTAGTGAACATAAAACATAAGTTCTGAACTCTTTGTGGTAATGCAGTGTTGTTGGATGATTATAGGATTTGGAACCAATGAATATTCTGCATCTCTTCCGTGATAAAGTCTACCCAGTAAGAAAAGGGTTTGCCACTGAGTGTGCCAGCATGCTGATATGTAATCACTTTTGGGAGTTGTTGGATGCTGTTGATGATTAATGTTTTGTGGTTGTATATTCCGTGCACCTGCACACACAGTATGTGACATGGACTTCTTTTGATGCAACTGATTGATTTGAGTTTCATGGACAGGTTTCCTAAATAAATGCATTGAGTGTTTTAGTGGAAATAGTAAACTGAAACACAAGCACCTCTGATCGCTCTTCTAACATTGTTGGTTTAAAGGTTATTTTAAAAAATACTCAGATGTTGCTTGCTTAAAAATATTTTGTACACGGGGAAGATTATTTTTTAAATTATAACTGTAGTTTATCTGATTTCAAGATGCAAGGTTTTTCTGTTCTTTTATATTGAAAGTCTACATATTGTAACACTATGTTAAAATTTACTTGAAGTTGCATCAGAATAAGATTTTGTCCCATCTTTCACAACTCTTTACTAAACTACTCATAATATTACTGAATATGTCTCATTTTGAGGACTATAGAAGCATCCTAGACTCTTTGTTGTTACCACTGGATTTGCATGTTAAACTAATGAATTTCAGTAAATTGGTGGTGTTCGGATGATCTCTATATCCCTTCTACATTAATTCTTTACTATCCTTAGATCTAGTATGTTTGACTCCTTAATTGTTTTGAGATTTCCATAAGTGATTGAGCTGAAATGGGGCAGGGAGTATAGGGGAAGCACAAGCGTGTCATAGCATAACTCTGATGCAGAAACAAGGGTAAGTTTGTTATAAGTTAACAGAGTGTTTACAAAACAATATTGGAGGTTTTTTTTAGGAACCAAAAGCCTTCTGTAGGATCAGAGTAAAAATTAAAGGAAAATGTGAGAGACAATAGGAAAAAGGATCAAAGGGCCATCCTTTTGGAAAACTTACCCTAAACTAGTGTGAGTTCTGATGGCAATTGGAAGCCTGTGATAATAAATACTAAGGCACTTGGTAAAACTCTCTGCTTCTAGTGGGATAAGGAATGCATTACAAACAGAAATCATATTTACTTTTTATTATTCAGCTATGCCTGATATCTTAATCTTTAAAACAAACAAACAAAAAAGTCAGAAGGAAGATGACTTCATTAAAAATGGTTTATAAAAGTGTTAGGAGCCAAGATTTGAAACTTGGCAGGAAGTTGTGAGAAGTTTATTTCTGTATTGTGATTGAATATTCCACTAATTTAAAACAAATACAAAACCACAAACAAAACAAAAGCCCTGAATGTTGTTGTGAACTTTCAGTTTCAACCTGTTCAGTAAACACATGGACTCCATGTGTGTTCTGTCTCCTCAGAGTCACAGGTTGTAATAATGCTGAAAGCAGAGGCTGCTCCTCCTCTGCTTCGCCTGGTAGCTTCCAGGCACTGAGATAAGGGGCTCTGGGGAAGCACAAAGGTTGAGTGAAAAAAGAGGAATACCTGTAAAAAGAGAATGGGACAGCAACAAGATGTGAAGAAATGGTATTGCCAGAGAGAAGCAAAGATAAAAACTTCCAGGAACTGAAAAGGAATTACTGTTAACAAAGAGTGGCTGGAGGTAGCATGAGAAGATGCAGGCAGCGAGGACAGCAAATAAGAAGCATTTAGAGATAAGATGAAAAGCAAAAAGGCAGGACACCTAAAATAAGCCAGACTTGTTCACACTGTTTCTCTGTCTTCCCATTGCGTTCTTGTCAAGCAAATGCCAGCGGTGAGATTCTCTAGAAAGAGGGATATTTCCATTCATTTTATGCAGGGGATCTGCATAAAATAACATTTATTGGTCTCTGAAGTCCCCAGATACATGTGCTGTATAGTCCTCAGGAATGCTATTATTTTCTCCTTGGAAGCACTGTCCTATGAGCTGAACTGATGTTTGTTTTTGTGGTTGGTTATTGCCTGCACACGTCTTCATCCTCTAACAATGATGTCACTGTGCCACATTGTTCAGTGTGAAATGCATGAAATGTGTCTAGGTTGTGTTGAGTCAGACTTGCCAAAGGTCTATGAATTTTGTTTGAGTAGAAAATTTTTTTACTTTTTTAATCAAATTTTCTTCTGGCTATATTTATGGATCTTTCTGCAAATAGTGGTAGTTGAACCTCTCTTTTTCATCCATTCCAAAGTCATTCAGATGTACATATGTATGAATTTCAATTTACTTGGTTTGACTATTCCAAACCCAGTTTATTTATATTTTGGGGTATGCCTTACTTCTTAAAATCAAGTTTTATTTTGGGGCTGTCATAACTGGTTTAAAACCAAAATAGCAGAATATACTTCTAGGGTCATGAATGTAACACTTTAAAAATACTGATTTACTGCTAAAGGTAAATATTTAATGTAATTACTATGCTGTGGGAAGGAGGAATATTGAAAATAGCTGAATGTCCAAGTGTTCATCATTTATATTTTAGTAACAGATGGCTGAAGAATAAATATATTTTTCCTAGTGCAGTGCCTGTTTAGTTTTCATGCTTTGCAGTTTTACTTCTGTAAATATATCTGGATGAGATTAGAGGACAAATGCATACCTCTCAAAGGGCTGCACAGACACTGGGAAAAGATACTGGGATGAGCATTAACTCACAGCACTTACATTTTTCATGTCAGTGGAGCTGCAAGTTGGAGTCACAGAGGCTGGAGGTCTTCCTCAGGGCATTATTACCTAGAGATGTTCAAGCCTGTGGGGTCTCCTTCTGGGTCTCATACATACATAGAACAAAGTAATTGCTTTCAGAGCTTTAACTAGACATTGACATATCTTTTTCAGGTATGGTATTTTTGCTTCATGCATTTGTGTTAGGTGAGTCTTTAGATTACCAAAAGTTTATATGGCTGATGTCTTGACCTTAACTCATTAAAAGCAAATTTATTTTTATGCCATTCAGGTTTTTTCTGATTAATACAAAGAGTCACACAATTACTTTTTGGTCTCAATTCAATCTGAGATGTAAGATGCAAATATTTTTAATATTGTGGAAATTTTATAAACCTGATTTTTTCACTCACAACAGCATAAGAGCTTTAATAGGTGTTTCTGAAGAGTAGATTACAATATACTCATAATTACTTTTTTCTCTTTTCTTGTACTTTTCCTTTGTTCTTCTTAAAGTTTTGGGGAGTTGATTATGCAAACAGCCACTGACCTTTCTTGATTTATTGATTTTGGATTTTGCTTATATGCTTTGCTGAACTTCTTTACAGATCATTACCTATTCTCAATTGTGGAGGGGAAAAAAAAACCCTATTGGTTTATGTTGGTATTTCATAATTGTTATAACTTGCCCCTGAAGGCAAGGGTAACTGAGCTTCTTGCTAGTAGATTCCTTTGGGCAGGTGAGAGTGAAACCACACTGAGTGACTAGTGTTTATATGTATATATATATGGCAGGTTTATTTTAGATCAGTTTGGTTGCAATGGAAAGGAGGTATGTAGCCATTTTGGCTATTATCATCTGTAAAAGTGCCGCAAAGTATGAAGATACCACTTAAGAAAATACAGAGGGAAAAGAGAGAAAGGATAAGAACAGAAAGTGAAGTGAGACCTAATTGTGGCAATTTCAATGTCTCTTGTTTAAAGTGATGGTCACAGTTTTGATCTGTTGAGGGTAGGGTAAGCCCATGAAACTCCAGGTTCAGTGGGTTTAAATACAGTCAGGTTCAGGTGACAGCATCCAGGGTACCACTCCTGAGGCGAGGGTGTTGCAGTGTTCCAGCACTGTGGATCAGATGCAGTCCTCTGGTGGGAAGCCTCAGAAATGAGTCTGGGCACACTTTGGGGGACCTGGCTGGTCTGTGACACCTAAAGCATGCCAGATGCCTGTCGCAGCAGTGTGGCTGAGCAGTTGTGTGTCAATGTGTCTGCGGGTCCCAGGACAAGGGAAGAGATGCATCTGAATCCATATTTCTTAGAAGGCTGATTTATTAGATATGATATTATGTTATATTTAAAAAGCTGTTCTAAAGCTATACTAAAAGGAATAGAGAAAGGAATACATCAGAAGGCTAGGAAAGGAATGAATAATAAAAACTCATGACTGCTCAGAGCCTTGACACAGCTGGACCATGACTGGTGATCAAGTAAAAACAATTCACCTGAGACCAATCAAAAGATGCACCTGTTGGTAAACCATCTCCAGACCACATTCCACAGCCATCAGATAGTTATTGTTTACATTTCTTTTCTGAGGTTTCTCAGCTTCTCAGGAGAAAGTCCTACCGAAAGGATTTTCATAAAATATCACAGTAACAGTTGTGCCCCATCAGAAGGGATGTATGCCTTCAGGCCCATGTGAGTGTCCCTTCCATGAAGGGGAGTTTTACACTGAGCCAGTTATGTAAGGGAGGACATTGCCATGATAAAAAGCACTATTCCACTTTGCAGAATCTGTTTCTTATGAGTCTTTTCCCTTATTTGGCTCAAAACCCAGCTTGTTGCCAAACAGAAGTCTGTTTTGGTCATCCTCTGCTGGTGGGTGCACACCACCTCTGTGCCTGGGCTGCTCTTACACAGTTATTTCACCATCACACACCCAAAAACCCTCCCCCTCTCTTTGCAGTAAGGAATGCAAACCTGGCCTCAGCAAAGCACCTGCTCCTTTTGCAAATGGGTGGTTGGGACGTTAACCCCTAACATTTCAATCTCTCACAAAAATTAGAAGATCATGCTGTGTCACAGCTACTTCTGAATCACAAAAAACCTATTCTGTGTGGAATCCAGGCATGCAGATTTGCATTATATGTATGTATGCATAAAGAAGAAAACTCTTTTTTTGTCTGTTTGGGGTTTTTATACTGTGGAGAGCTGATTCCTAAAGCATTCTAGTCTCATATTTAATTTAAGAGTAGATGTGAAAAAAAATTCAGGACCAAATTTATAGTGAGGTATGTCTTTGTTAATGCAACTTTGTTATTTTTTAAAATTAAATTGGCTAGGAAAAATAGTGATCTAAAGGATATGAATTGTCTTAGTTTGTAGAAAGAAAAGTATCAATCTAATGTTATTATTTTTTACTTTCTACTAATTAAAGTGTTGTGCCAGATATCTTGATTATTTTTAAAAAGTTATGAACTGCTTGCAGGTTACCAGTTACCCCAAATAATTATTCAGTGATTTAGGTAATTAAATGGAGTTTCTGAAGTGTCTGAGCTCTGAGAACCGTTCATCAATCCCATCCTTTTTATTCCAATAAAACTCTACTGAAAGCCAAAGAACACAAACGTGTATCGGAGTCAAGAGTAACAGATGTTGATGACTAGGTTCCATTCCATCACTAAGATCATTAAAATAGCCTTTATTTATCAATGTTTTCCATCTTCATTTTGCTTTTCTAGTACTCCACAAGCAGCCAAGAGAAGTGTGCCTTTGTTTGCTGGAACTTGGAAGAATTGCAGCAAGGTAGGTGAAAATATTCTAAGACTGTTGAAATATTTGCATTCTTGACAGCAGGGGCTATTGACCGACATATTAAATCAGCACATCTCAAGCTAACTTTCGTGCTCATTAGGTTCAAATAGAATGTTTGATGTCACTCTTGAGGATGTCACTCACTGGATGTCACTCTTGAGGGCAGTTGTTAGCAAATATTACAAAATACCTGTATGTCAGTGAAGATATTTGTAGGCTATCCTTCTATTAGGAGAGGAAGAGTTTGAGAAACTTTTTTTTCCCATAAAGCTTTGAGCCATTTCTCCTTCTAAAGTTAGATCTCTCTATAAAAAACTGCAATTTAATGAAGTTTTCTGGTAATAAGGTGATCTTCACTTGATCAAAATCTGACCAAGATGATTTTAGCTGTGCTGGACCTTCAGTACATTGTCATGTTCTCTTTGACATAAAGACACAGACTTTTGCTAAGCAATCAAAATTACAGCAACTGGAATGTGATTTTCCCCCCTTTTTGCAGATGTAGATTTAACCAGCATAGTGCATAAGATTTACTGAAAAATGCATTAGTAGCAGCACTGCTGCCCAGTCTTGCATGTAAATTGCAGTTGCATTCATTGATGTGTGTAAAGTTGAAGTACCTTGCTATTCAGGTAGTTTCATTAATTTCAGAAGAATTCCTTGTGGTAACAATCAAGGTGAGGGAGACCCCTGTTTATTCCTATTTTAAGAACTAGTATTGGCTGTTTTAAAATTGCATGATGTGTATTCATATTTTGTGAATGAACTCACATGGAAAACTAGAAATTTGTCTCATGGTCAAGTTCCAGAAAAACCCTTGCTGTCAACGGAAGCTTGCATAGGAACAGCAATGATCAAAAAATAGTGATTTCAGGTTTTCAGTTATTTTGTTATCTCTACAACTTGTGTTCAAATGGCAAATTGTTTTAACTTCCCACAAAGCAGAAAGTATTTTGATCTGCAGGTGCATAATGAAATTAATTTTAATGAATCTTAATTTACCTGTGCAAACAAAGTGCTTTCAAGACCAGCTTGGAGACAGACCTACCAGCACCCAAAGCCCCTGTGCCTGGGGCATAGCTGTCAGGGTGTCTGCCCCAGTTAGTTCCTTTATAGGATCCAACTTCCTCAGGTAATGCATGCTTGTGGTTAGACAGTGTTGGATTCTGCTAAAGTGGGTTGAGTTAGATTCATCTCATTTTGCAGTGAGATTTGGTGTCTCAATAGATCTACAAGGGAATGAAAACAGAACCTTATGCTTTAAATTTGTCTTAAGCTTCCACGTCTCGGATGCTTTCTGTTCCAGAAATGAAAAGAAGTACGGAACAAATAAATAAGCCATGCTTTCATTTATGATGCATATCTATCCCTTTACCCTTAAAATATTTGTAGTCTATTTTTTATTTATAATGTATGAATATTACCATATATCATTAATGATTCTTTTATATATTGTGTTTCCATTTCTGTATTTATGTTTCTTTATTTTAATTATATTTGTAGCTTAGGGGTCAAATAATATGTTTGTCTACTTTTCCCTGCTCTAGTATCTCTTCAAAAACAAACAAATCCCCATTTATAATCTTGTATGCTTCCAAGGCACACAAAAACTGAACTGTCAGGTTAATACAATTGCAAACCAAATATGTGATGCCTGTTTTGCCTGAGCTGTGGTAAACCAGAACTGTATGGGAAATGAGAATTGATAATTGCCTTCTTTGAGGGTGGGGAAGGAGCCCAGTAAAGTGAGGTTGCTGGGCTGCTTTAAACAGGAGGGAAGTCAGATGTGTGCTTTGTCAAGCAAACTGGGTCTGTTGGCAGTCTTAGGGATCTGTTTTCCAGAACAGGAGCTGTAGAGATCTTTGAAAAAACGCCTCAATCTGTATTTAAAGAACAAAAAGTGTCAGAGACACTGAGTAATTGTAGAAGCAGAAAGATATGTCCAAAGTGGCTTACTCATCACAAGGACTCAGCTTTGGGCACACTTTGCCCAGCTAGATTACTCTTAGTTTTCAGGTCTGTAACTCCTGAAAGTCAACCTGAACTTTTTTATTTAATGCAAATGAACTTGTGGTTGAGGTACAAGTGAGGAAGAATGAGGATTGCTTGAGGAGGAGTTAAACTGAGCTCTGTTCTGCTCGACTTGTATTCAACAGATACTCTCTGGAGGAGGGGAGACAGGTGATAATTTACCTTTGCTTTAGGAATGCTTTTAGCATGTTATCACATAGTATCCTCTTAGACAAATCAGGGACATGTGGTCTTGATGGATGGAGTGCACAGTGAGCGGGAAACTGGTGTGACCACTTGGCTCAAAAAGTGGCAGTTCAAAGATATTAATAAAAATACAATTGCCTGATAAATTATCTTGAATTTCAGCTTTTTATGAAAACAAAGTTCTGAGATCGTCTGCAAAACTTCAATAGTTAAAATGAGGCCTTGTGTCACTGGCAGATGTTATGTCAATACAGTGAGATTTATGAGAGAGGGAAGTGTCCTACAGGGTGGAATTGACCTCTGAAAATGCACAGGACTGTTGCAGTGGGTTGCACAGGTCCAACATTCTCCTAAGTATTTGAAAGTCAGAGATTATACAATGGAAAGCAGATAAATTATTTTTTTCTGCACAAAGGATGAAGTTCTTGGGTTACTGTTAAACTCTGCAGGGTTAAGCAACCCTCACAGGTCTTTTGGAATTACTATTGGAAAATTTCAAGGTCTTTCTGCTATTGTGTTCAATTTTACCTTGATAAAAACAGAAAGTGGTGCTCTAAAAAGTCTAACAGAGATCATGTTACAGTCCATTGCTGCTTCACGTGTAGTTGTGAGAAGCCAGGCTAGAAAGAAGCAGAAAAGGAAATGCTCAGCATACCTTCCCAGAATTTGCACCTCTACCCCTCTCAGAAAAGATGTGGCTTTTTACAGTTTCAGTTTTCCAGCAACATTGCTTTGGGCTCGTACAGCATATGGGGGAAAAAAGTGTGTGTGTTTGTTTGATCGTTGATCTTATTTTTCAGCTGTTCATCAGAGAAATTCAGAATACTGGAAGTAGAGGAAACTTTAAAAATCTGTCACAAAGATGAAATTTAGAAACTATGAAAAGTAGTAGAAGCAAAAAAGCAACATTTCTTACCGCGGAAGAGTTTTATTTGATGAGTAAGGCTGTATGCAGAAGTAGGCTTAGAGCCCAGTGGGAATTACATGATTTACAGCCTGTCAGCATCTGCAGACAGACAGGAAGTAAATCGATTGTATATAAGTGCTTGCTTCAATGTTGGCTGGCTTTTCATTACGCAGACTGCACCAGTTAGAAGCCAATACAAGCACAGATTTGGTTCCTGGTTTGCTTTCTATTAATTTACTAGGCAGTAGTATGACTAAATTAAACATTATCAGGAAAATGCAAAAGCTAGTATGTGGGCTTATATCTTTTCTCTGTACACTTCTAAGATCATTATGGTATTTAGCTTTAATTTTCATTATATGTATTTCTTACTGCTCCATATTTTAGGGTCCAGGTCTCTACCTAGATAAGTCACTATAGTTCTCATCTGGACCATGGACTTCTCTGCTGCAGAAAAAAAAAATATAATTTCATTTGTGCGAGTAGTTTGCTATGACAAGTCTACCTGGCATGATAACTTTTCCAAGGTGAAGTCATTCTCTGAAAAAGGAACTCTGGGTGTTTTTCTGGGGTTCATGCAGTGCTGGCAGGTAAAAAAAAAACCCAAAAACCAGAAGGGGATTATCGGTAATTAGGAAAATGGGATGCGCTTTTAGACTTTTGACTTCTGTCCAAGCTCTGCTGCTTGCTGTGAGATACTGACTCAACCACTTGCCATAAAGCTTTCAGAAGATCTTTCAAAAAGAACCTTGCTCTTCAGGTGCTCTGGTTTGAGTTTATCCATGATGAAGTTGCATGTATTTTATTCTAGCTGGAGCTACAAGTGTGTTGCCACTGTAAACAGAGATCTGAAGACTCTCTGTCAAAAATCAATTAGTAGAAACACTAACCACTTCTGAATAGTAATGGCCATTTTTATTTCTTCAGAAAATACTAATACAAAATATAAGTTGCTAAGTAATTTGAAAAGATTCTGTTTGGAAAGAAAGAAAATACAATAGAAAAAAGTGCAAATGTACTGAACTTGACCTGTCCTGCATGATATTGCAATTTCTGAGGTCCATTGTTCATAAATTATTCACCAACATTTATGATATCAGACAGAGAAGCTGAAAAAGTACCTGTATTTCCTGTCAATTTGATTAACTGAGAGACTGCATCTAAATTTTTTTTCTATTAATTTGGAATTATGGCAGTATGGCTTGGTGTATTTTAAACATGTTTATTAATGTGTATCATTCTGTTATTGCACACAAAGTAGAAATTCTTTCCACTGTTTTGTTTTAAAATACATAATACTTTCTATGGACTAGTAATTTATATTTGCATGTTTCCAAAAGGTGTGGGGTAGAACCTCCTGGATTAATAAAACTGGAAAAAGAGATTGAACAAGAGGAAACACTTTCAGCTCCCCTTCCATCTCCTTCACCATCACCCACAAAGTCTCCTGGGAAAAAGAGTACAGGGAAACTCTTGGATGATGCTGTAAGTTGTGGGAGGAAGCTTCTTCCTATCTTATTGATTCTGATATGCACTTACTTGCAAAACACACACAAGCCTGAGTTTAACATCTCACTCTATTTTAAACATTTGTCAATTTATAGAGTTATTTGGTTTTTGACCACAATTATTTATGTCTGAAGTTTAGGGGAAAAAAAGTCAGACTGTGTAGGAGCTCTGCAGCTTAGCCTAGCTTGGTGCTTAGGGCCACATTCTCTTCTTATTACTCTTTTACTCCTTATTCACCAACTCCCACTTGGTGCTTTGTCTGAGGAAGGACTGAATCAGGACAAGATTTGGCTCATACTGACTTGTACTGAATGTTAACAAACACTTCTGAGATATTTCAGCCTAATTTTTTGCTGTTCTGCATGATTCTCACATAGTAAAGAAACAAGCATTGTTTTCCTCATTGTTAGAATCTTGCTTTGAATTTCATTAAACTTGTTGCAGCATATTGAGTGTTCATGTTTCTGGTGCAAACCCACAGGGGTTCATTTGAAATAGCTGGAATCAGATGAAAAGGACACATTTTGAGACCATGAAGAGGTTAAACTGGAAAAGTACAAATCTAGCCTGTAAAAAGAAGCAGTTACCATAGTAACTACTACATTGCAAGGTAGATGTGCCACCTGGGAGTTACAAAGCACTTCTTGAAAAATCCATGTGCCACTTTCCTGTTACAAAGAGCAGATGGAATATAATGTTCCTTCATTTTATTGAAACACTTTTTTTTTTATTTGATGACTATAATTACATTTAAAATTTTCTGGTTTGTATTTGTTCCTTAACTTTGCAAAAGCACTTGTGTTTCAACAGAACTGAGAAAGAACAGTTATGTGTAGAAGGAGGCTGGTGACTGCATATCATGTAGAAATTGAACAGAGAGAATGTAGGTTTTCTCTAACCACCTCCTTTAATTTAGAAAGCAGTATGGATAGAAACAGAATGGAATTCATCCAGCTAGAGTCCTGACCTGCACTGCCCCAGACACTCACACCATAAAATAGCAGCAGTTTCTCATATAGTCCAGACTTCAAATAAAATAGAATATAATTCCTCCCTCTGCTTCCTTATTTGATTTCCAAATTCCACTCAATGCTTCTGTGTCCTTTGGGACAGTAAGGCAATGGAACCCACAACAGCAGGATCAGCAGTGAAGATCTTACTATCCTCTGCTTTACATCAGAATAGATCTGTTGGCTTTCATTCTCCACAGGCAGAAGATGGGTCTATTTTGCTTACACAGTTCAAAACAGCCTTGAACTTGTTTAGGCCCAGTTACTCTGGGGTTTTGATTCCTTATATGAACTCTGGTGGACGAAGCATTAAGTTCCTACTACCCATTTTCAGCTGTCAGGGTGATAATGCCATAGGATATTATATCAGGAATCCCTCATTATTGAACAGTATTCAGAGGGCCATTGCCAAAAAGCTCCCTAAGCATGATGAGTCTTGGTAGCACCTTCCAAGAAAGACAGGAATACACCTTTTTCATCCTCAGCAATCTGCACTTGGATTTAAGTAATCAGCCACTGATTTCATGTAAGTTATTCCTATTGTACATTAACTGTCTAAATAGTTTATTCAGCAGAAATGGAGGCTAAGTCTCATCCATGTTGATAAAAATAATTTGAGTAACTGATGTTAAAATTCAAAACTTGATACGTTCAAACTGAAGGATAACTAATCTGATACTTGAGAAATACTTTATATGTGTAAAATACATGTAGAGCTCCTCTGTTAAGTCTTATTTTAGTTATTTTTTCATAAAAATATTATTCCCTGATTAAAAATAAATAAGTCTTAAGAATACTTATAAAAACCCCTCCACAATTAAGTAATGATGTTATTCAAATAAAGGCATTGAACCATTTCAGAAATATTTGGAAAGCCTTTAAATCACTCAACAGAGCTAGTTTCAAAAGTATAGAAACAATAATTGGTTGCCTTATAAGCTCTTCTGGCTTATTTAACATACTGTAACGTAATTCTTAAAGCAGATCTGAAAAACATTTGTACATCAGAAGCCTTATCTATTCATGATAAACAAAACACTCATTAGAGTGCTACAGCTTTGGCCAAGCATTTTTTCTTTTTATGAAAAAATATAAGACTTTAATTTGTTAGCTATTCTGAAAATATCCTTTCCTGGGCCTCAGACCATTTTTCCAGGCTTTGGTTTACAAGCTGGATATGAAAATGTCTTTGGAATATTGTTTGAAGTGGACAAACATCTACAGGTTCCTCTGGCATTTTGCATTGTTTGATGCTGACATACTAGGTAGGTATTTTGTCCAAGAAAACCACAGTGTATGAAAATGCTGCACTTATTCTGGCTGTTCCTATGCAGAAGTGCAATTTGAATACCAAAGAAGAGTTTCACAGCCAGACCTGCTCTTTTGATATTGATGCCTTTGCTACTTTCTCATCACTGAAGAGTACAAAATGTACTTTTACTAAGCATCACTGTCTGTGGTAGCACATGCCAGAGCAAGGAGGCCAAAGTCAAGCTGGTGCAGCTAATAACATGCAGGACAGTGGTTTTCATCTGTTTTTTCTCAGCCCTTATTTTTTGGGGTTATGTAGTTAGGTTTGGCAATGATAGTGTTCTTGAGGTCCCTTAAATTAGCTTGGATTTAGCTAACCCTAACAAGGAGATCATCAAATAGCAGTTGAAACTACTGGGGAGTGTCTTGGCATTAATTTTTAATCATGTCACAATATTTTCTGTATGCTTTTTTCCTAAGGGGTTTGAGCACAATTTTAAAGAGGCAGAGCCTCTTAATGGTAAGGAAGATACCTCTATATTTATATATATTTAGAAGGCAGGATGCATCTTGTGTCACCTTCATTTTGCCTGTTTAACTGTATTAGCACTTTGAGCTGATTCATCATAAAATACTGAGAGTACAGGTACAGAAGTTTGGTGCTGGACTCCGTGTAACAAACTGCTTGACTTCAGATAAAGAGTGCAAACTTGATGCTGAACTGTGCAACATTTTTAACTCAGCTGCTAAATCATTGCTATTGGAAGCACCATAGGGTGCTTTCTGGGGTTACAGAAATGTTAACCAAAACCAAGAAAAATATCATCAATTCATACTTAAATTAAATGATACATTATGACAAGTGTCTTATTGAATGTTTTGCTATCCATGCTATTTTAAACAGTTCCTATTAATGACTTCTTTTTTATAGGTTAAACACATTTCTGAAGATCCACCTTGTAAATGCCCTAATAAGTTCTGTGTGGAGCGTCTTTCACAGGGAAGATACAGAGTTGGAGAGAAGATCCTTTTTATTAGGGTAAAGATTTTATTTTCACTTTTTCATTTTTACTTTCTTTTTACTTTACTGCTACCTTCCACTTTGAAAATTACATCACTGATTAACAGGAAAAAATATTTCTGGTTAACCAGCACTGACTCATTTTTATGACACAGTTGGAGAATAAATAACCTATGATGTGTTAACTGGCCCAAGGAATTATTAGTATGTGATAAATATCCTTCTGACTTTAGGTCATTGAATTTGCTCTCTCTTTAATCAATTGCAACCAAAAGAAAAGTATTCAGAAATAGAGCTGGTGACTTCTGAGTTTGGCTTGAAAGAATATCCACTGCATTAAAACAGCCTTTCTCCCACTCTGTTTTGACTGATACTATTTAACAGGTCGGGAAACAGATCAAAGGCTTCAGGATCATTGAATTGCCAAGTCATGACTAAGATATATTGCTAAAGCAGCGTGAGCAAACCATTAAAATCCATAGCATGTCATTTGATTGACAGATATTTCCAAAGCCAGAGCTGTATTTCAGACTTTGTGTGTAGATTATTAACTCCCATAGCACAAAGTTAATCAGTATCAATACTTGCTAGCATTATTGTATGGCTGAATTCAGCACATCTATACTTTCAAAGATTAATTCACCTGATCCACTTAATCTTCTCTGTATATGGCTATGGTAATAATAATTGAAAACATGCTAATCTTGTTATTCTGTAGTTGTATGTTAAGAATCTGATTCATACTCAACTTCCCATCTTCCTCTCTGCATGCACTATTCTTGAGTCATGACTTGACAAAATGATAGGTCTTGCTCCCAAATAACTCTTATCCCTATTTTGCTAAAGGCTCATAACTGTGACCTGATAAAACTGAGCATTTGTAACCAGAAGAAGTCAGAGGGATCCCTTCTTATCTGCAGAAGTCAAGTTCCTGGTTCAACAAAATACCAGAGCGCTTATTCAGCCACAAACTCCTGCTTCACATAACTTGCAGTGAAGTCAGTGGAGGCAGATGAGGGTTTGGGTTTTCTCGGGAGTGTGAAGTTGGGAACATGTATAAGTACTGTGCTGAACAAGTACTGAGAACTCCTAATGAATTCAGTAATAGGTCATAAAGAAGAAGAAATAAGGGATTTGTGAAATCTCACAGATATTTGAGTATAAAGGATTAATAGCTTTTCTGGTTTGTAGCTAGTAAGGGACTTTTTTAAAATTCTGCAGTATATTTAGGTAATAGCTTTATTACTAGTTTCAAACCACTTTGAGGAAGGTAATGATTATTAACTAAAGACCTCAGTAATCTGGCACAGTTTAACATTTACATTTTCTTCCTTTTGGTTTTCATTTTAAAAACAGTATCAAAGTATTTTTAATATTTTTGTTTTGAGAAACTTGAGTTCTGCCAGAATGGTGAGTGTCAAATTCCCTTTTGCTGACTTCTTTATTATGCAATCTAGTCCAAGCCAGATTTCATTCCAAATTTGCAAACAAAAATCCCTTTTCATATCACACTACTGCATTCCAAGTTGAATTGTGCAAAAAAATAACAGTAGTATAGATTAGGTATTAAATAGCAGTATTAAAGATCATTCCTGCAAAACTTATATCAATGGAAACTTGATGGAAAATGGAAACATTTCAGTGGGAACAAGTTCATTTTCCTAGGTTTTAAAAGTCAGTTGTCTTTTGGTTCTGGTTGGTTTGAACTTCACTGGATCACAGTAAGTTTTTACTCTTCACTCTACATGTTCTTGAGTACATAACTAGACATATTAGCCTTTCTTTGGAATCCTTTGGACAGTTGTGAAAAAGCAGATTTAGGGTGTGTAGCTGATTTTTAATTGTGTTGGTATTTGGCACCGAATTTGATGCCACTGAGGTAGTTCCTCCTAGGCTGTATGTTTTTTACACAGCTTGTAAAGACACAGCCAAATAAATGCCATTTGTTTACAACCCAATGCGTTCTAGTTAAATTGAGATCAGCAGTTTCATTGTTTGAAGATGGCTTAGTATATCCACTACTGTATTAGCCTATCAGCTTTTCTCAGTAACCTTTATAGAATTTAAAACCTCTGTCATGTCAGGAATGCTACAAGTATGCCATGTGGTAGGAGTTAACTCCTATTAACTGATGACTAAGATTATTTTTTCAGAAATTATTTAATAGTATTTCTAATTTTTTTATTCTAATGCTGCAAGTTCTGTTAGGAAAAAAACCCAAAAACAGCATTCAAACCAGAAGAGAAAGTGTCCCAAGTTCCTTTTTTTATTAATTTATATTATATATGGAATAAGTGAACAAGGAATAGCAAAGCAAAATAAAACATGGCAGAGTATAGATTTCAAGGAAAAAAATCACGGAAACAAAGTACATGTGTCAATTTAAAGTAATTCTAAGGAAAGGAAATAATTTGGAATATGTAGCAAAAAGTGTCCCATTAAAATTAGAGTAATTTTTTTCTTTTAACGTGGGAAAATATTTAATTTCCTAATAGAAGTTTTAAATCCATGAATTAAGGGAAATTACGAAACTTCATAAAAGCATTATGCTTGAATCTCCTGATAAAATTGCATGCCCCAAAAGCAGTTTTTTATGCATGAAGTGTTTCCATAAGGCATAAACTGAATATTATTAAAATAACGCTGTGGTGGCTTAGATCCCAAAAATGTATTTTCAATAAAAATTTACCTGCTTGTAGATTCTTCTTCCTTCCAAGTAGGAACGATTCTAAATTCCACTTCCACAGAAAAGATGGAAGACGTGTTTTAAATTAATGGATTATATTAATAAGTTAAATGATAAATAACCATCTTATTTAAAATCGAAACACTGGTTCATAATTAGCAGGATCTCTGCATGTGTGCAACATACAATTAATCATTTGCTTTTTCACTCTCCTACCATCCTACCATAATGCCTTAAACTTTCAGAATGGAACTGAATGAAGAAACCTATTTTTAAAAATAAAGAATAACAAGTCATGAAAACTTGTACAAATGTTTGGCTTATAAATTGGGAGAGAGTCACAGAGTTTGAAGTTCTTGCTTCTTGCAGAAGGCAGCAGAGAGTTTTATAGTAAGAAATGTCAGTCATGCCTTTACAAAAATACTTCTTTAACATTTTCAGTGACAAGAATTCTGTTTTCAGGTTACCTCACGTTGCATTGTATATGCATTAGTCTGAAATTTTCCCACAAACTAACCAGCTTCTCTCAGAAAGATCTGTCATTTTGGTCCATACCTATGATGACATTCAAATTGTTGGGAAATTATCTTTAGTGCAACTGGAGTCACATTAGATGATGTAATGGGTCCTGGATTTAAAGCTTCTGATTTTTCCTGTGACATAGAGATGTTCTCTGTCTCACAGACCAGTTGATAAGTATGTGATTGCTCTTAAATATTTGACCTTGTATTCTTAATAATTAAGATCATGTAACATTATTTTACTATAGTAATAATAAAATGCTTATTTAATACTTTCTTCTTCTAAATCCCAGGAAAGGAAAGGTGTTATTTACCTGCTATAGTACCTGTGTAGAAACATTATTTTCAGATTGACTGACATAATATATGTGTAATATATATGTTTTTATAAATATATATAGAAAAATCCCTCTGCAGACAGTCTAGTATGCACCATTGCCTTTTCCTGGTGGGAAAGATGTACTTGTGTATAAATATGGAAGTACATTTTACTCAAAACCATCCAGCTAGGGATGATGTATCATATAGCATATAAGAACTGGAAAGAAGGAGAAATAGAAAGCAGATTGATTATATGGATCACAAGACTGAAATGCTTTGCTCTGCCTTTCCAATTCAAATGCATAAGTTGTACTCATAGCTTTTGTATGGTGTGTTTCTGTCTTTTGTTTTTCCTTCAGCATAATTTTCCTAGCTTTTTTTTTTTTTTGTCTTTATTCCAAAGATTGTCACAGTTGTTCTGCTTTTCCCAGGCCTATTCACTTCCAATATTTCAATACCTTCATTTTCAATACCTTCACTCCAAGTTTATGTTTTTAGCAGTGAAAATCCTTTCCTAAGCTTTATCCATAAGAAATAACTTTCCAGGGTGTTTAAAATGTCAAAACCATGGGCACATCAGGAGTTTTAAATTACCCTAACTCCAAAGGAGGTACAGTGGGATGCCTGGGATCTTGTGAGTGAATTCTGAAAACACATCTTGGCCCCAGGACCACAACAGTCATTGGTCTCTTTGGGCTTCTAATCTCAGTCTTCTTTGTGTTTGTAGACAACTACAGTAATTCTCAACTCAAGACTGCAAAAGACAAGGGGAAAGGCATGTCTGAAGTCCAGCCCTAGTTTATGCCCAATACAAGGTGGTTTTGGAGACCTTTCAGCTGGGCACTTCTTTACTCTGTGCCAATTCCTCTCCAACAGCTTTACAATCACAGAAAAGATTTCAGTCTCACTTGTGCTACTGAAGGTGGAATTCTTCTCAACCTTCTCAGGTTTCATGTATTGCTTAAAAAGAAAAAGATCCTTAAAGGGCCAGTAAAATTCACTCCACAGGACTCAAAAGCTCTTGGACAAACAGTGATACTGAAGGTGTCAGTGGGATGGCTGGAATTGAGTGCTGCCTATAGAACTGTCAGGAAATCCATTTTGTTCTATACTCTACCATTAATCTTTTGACATTAGGCAGAACCCTGCCCTGCTCCAGCTTAAGTTGCACCTTGCTTGTTCTTTTAGTTACCCTTTCTCTCCTGCCTCTCCCTTTATTCTTTATTTTTTTTCCCCTTCCTGCCTGCAGCTTTTCTTATTTAGGCGTAGGTGCCTCCATGGAGACAGAAGCCCGTGGACATCTCTCTCTTCACTTTGTGCCTGATGATGCTGGTTTTGCACTCAATAAAAAAGCAGCTACAGCTCCACTATCTGGTCCTTTGAAGAACTGACATTTCTAGTTAAATAGTTGACTAACTTTCACTGAGTATAAAGTATGAGAAATTTAATACATATTTTTTGCCCCTCTTGATTTAATTTTCTACCTTTTT